TCTCCTTTTACCAAATTAACGCAAGAAACATTCCAAGTACCATTTGTTGCTGATTACTGTCACGTTTTTACGTACGAGTGTGCTTGTAACGATTAATTTTTTGTAATTTAAGTATTTTGATGAGGAAATTATAGTCTCCTGTTGTGATTAGGATGTATAAAAAACCTCTGTCGTCTCGAGTATACTGAAGAACTAAAAATACAGAGCCAAGGAACGTTGTCGCTTCGTCAAAGTAGCTGCATTATTCATTTATAAATGTTTCTCTAACCAATATTATTAATTCTTTCATTTCTTTTGAAATACTCATTGTTTACTTAGGGTATACCAAAAGTTCTGATCACAGTTTTTAAAATTTAATAAAGCAATAAATATTGAATATTTTACTAAGGCGATATATAGTATAACGTCTCGTCTTTAATAATATATAGAGCAACTCTCTCTTAGACTTAGTTCTAACATCCTTTCAGACTAAATCTATAATTTTACAGACAATGCAAATATTATTAATTCTTGTTCAATGGTCAGGTACATTCTGGAACTTTCTATTGGTCACTCTCTCGTCACGTTTTATGACGTCATTTTCTAGAATATTACATTTCGATAGTATATATAAATGAGAGGTCGTTCGCTGTTAGTTCATTTGTACCGTACTCGACTTAAAATCGTAATAGAATTTGATTTCAATCTTAAAAGAAGACATTAAACATGACTGATGAATTCAATCGATATTATATCAAAATTCGAGCTATTTTGGGAATAGATTCAAAAACAATCTTTGACGAACTTACAGAGGCATTGGGACCTGATGCTCCATCATATCCAACAGTCAGAAGATGGGCGAAACGTTTTCGTGAAGGAAGAGACGATGTCACTGATGATCCTCGATCTGGTCGTCCGATTTCGGTACTTACAGATGAAAATGTTGAACGCGTTCGACAAGTTATCGAAGATGATCCACACTCAACTTATGATGAAATTATGGGTGAGACTGATCTATCACGTGGTACAATAGAACGAATTATTCATGATCGTCTAAAGATGAGAAAAGTTACATCACGTTGGGTTGCTCATCAACTTACTGACGAACAAAAACAAAAACGACTTAGAATTTGTCGTCAAAATTTAGAGAAATTTAGAAATGGAACATGGCATTTATGTGATGTTATTACTGGTGATGAGACATGGATTTATCACAGGCAGATTGGTCGAAAGTCAAGCAATGCTACTTGGGTTGGCGAAAATGAACTACCAAGAACCATTGTTCGTCGGAATAGATTTGAACCTAGAACACTATTTTGCTTCTTCTTCAAATCCACTGGTTCTCTTCTCATACACAAAGTAGATAAGGGCAAGACAATCGATCATGACTACTATATTGATAATTGTCTTATACCTGTTATCAATGAAATAAGAAAAAAGGAAAAGTCATCACGTACTACATATAAAATGCTTCATGATAATGGTCCTCCTCATACTCATCCAGATGTTATTGATTATTTAATGGAGGAAGGAATCGAAATCATTCCACATCCACCATATTCACCAGATCTCGCACCGTGTGACTTTTGGCTAAATGATTATATCAAGAACAAGTTGACGGATCACACAAACGAAGAATCATTAGCTCAAGAGGTCTCCACCATAGTGAAGAATATTCCAATAAACGAGTTTAAAAAGACTTTCGATAAACTGTTAGAAAGAATGAAACTTTGTATCGAAAATAATGGTGATTATTTTGAGCATTTAATAAAATAAAATAACGAATGTCTCTTCGTTTCTGTATTGTGGTTTTATGTTGGCATGATCTTTTCTTGGCTATAAATACTATAGATTTAGTCTGAAAGGATGTTAGAACTAAGTCTAAGAGAGAGTTGCTCTATATATTATTAAAGACGAGACGTTATACTATATATTGCCTTAGTAAAATATTCAATATTTATTGCTTTATTAAATTTTAAAAACTGTGATCAGAATTTTTGGTATACCCTAAGTATTTGCTCATTTGAAAGCTATATGTTAAGCAAATAACATCTGCTACAAGCATATCAAGTTAACAAATTTATTTTTAATTCTTAGTCTGCTAAACAGGATTTATTTTCATGTATGAAAGAAGGACAAATACGAAATGATGTCTTGATTTAAACGACTCTTAGATAATAATTGATGTCTACTTGTATACACTCTATCACATTTCTAACCTACATTGCTGAATTCAAGCATAGCTTCTGCTTGCACACTTGGTATTAGCTACTAATTGTCATAAGTAAGCAATTTAGTATGTTGCTGCTCAAGTAGAGTCGTATCTCATCGAAACAAAAATAGGTATGAAGAGTATGTGCTACTTTATGTTGTTTGCCTTCTCTCTTTTTCTGGTCTGACAACAAGCTATTATTAATGGATGTCACTATCACATATAAGCAGAAGGCCTGAAAAATTGAAATGAACGTCATATCTCGTTATCATAGTTTTTGTTTTCATTTATATCAACACCAAATGTTGTTTTTTAAAGGTTTGGAGGGTGATTATTACATGAGCGGCTCATAGAAAACAATATTTTTCATATGAAATCCTGCGTGTACGCATCTTAACTTATTCAGGGCTTCACAAGACACGTTGTCATTCTACTTATAGTAAAAAGAGGACTGTTAAAAAGTAAAATTTCAGAAATAGTTGTTAAAAATTCAACGTAAAATTGCAAATATGAGACGTGACCGTTATTTTGTTGTCGTTTCTCCTAGGTTGTTGTCGTCTCTCACGCCTTCGGGTATATAAAGATCTGTTTTACGTGTGATGAATTCATTTCGTCGATCAACACAACAGTAGCAACATCGATTCTTCTACTATAGTCTCTACTGAATACAATAAGTGCAATCATTTTCGAAACGCACGGGGTACTTAGGTTCCAGAATTTTTATTTAATTCTTTGTGATCAATAGTAAAGATGTTTGTCTCGATGTGCTATGAGGATAGTACTACTAGATTGGTAGACGTATCTTAAGCGATTGCGATGGCCAACGGCCATTTTAGTACTATATGATGACTTCTCTTTGGGTCAATTTTTTTCAGTGAAATAAATTTCTTGTTAAATTACATTTATTCGGATCTTCCTGTGGATTCAGTTAGTTTTGCGTAAGGTCACTGTGGGTGTCTGAAGTTGCTGTCCCATCGGTCGAAGCGGAATCAATGAATGACTTGATTGTCTCCGTTTGTGTTGCAGTGCATGAAACAATTTGTTAAAAAAACAGCGGTTTAAGTTCAAATTAAGTTTTCTTACTTAGGTTTTCATTTTGGAATTGTGTGTTTCTTTTACTTTCCGTTGAAATATTATTCTTTTCATTTTTATATAATGTGGTTTGGTGAAAAAATTCTTTACTCTTTCTTTGATCTATGTGCCCAAGAAAAGAAGAGTGACAAACTCTATTTCAATCCAAGAATATATCAGTTCCTTTACTGAGAATTTTTCTTCGATTTCCATGTTTCTCAGTATTCTTATATGATGAATCTCTGGCAGATAGACTTGCTTAATATGTTTTCATCTCCTGGTGAGGTTGATGATTTAACCTCGGATTTTGAACGCATGCCTTTTGGTTCTTTTCACTTACTGAATTTAGCTCTATTGTCACAGTTGTCAGGGATGAAGTCTGGTTTTCGTTGTATAACTATGATATATAACTACACAGATACAAAATGTTTTGCTATAGTATTTACATCTCTCTTAGTTTATTTACATATATTCAATGACTTGTGAAAAAAATTTGAACATATTTTGTAAATTTTAAATTGACTTTTTTCCATTTCATATAGTACTATTCTACGATATATACAGATCAGTAACTTTATCACATTAGTATAAAAAACGGTAAACGATATGACAGATTTAATTCATAAATTTCATCGGCTTATTCACGAAAAATATAATGATATAAATGAGATAAGTTCATTAAGGGGGATGATTTATCTTGACGAGAAACGCTTGTGGTAAAAATTTCACCCTGATGTGCCTGACTAGATTGAAGTTTCGGCTTGTTTTCCTAACTCCCAGGAGAACCGAAATAACCTCTCGTTAGAAAGGGTACAGAGCTCAGGCTGGTTTCAAATTGTAGCTAGCCTCTGTACGCAACTTTTCATCGGACGGAATTTTGAAACTGCCTTCCATTTATTTTTTATGAGCAATTTTGTGGATATGCTTGCAAAATAAGCATAAAAAAAGCTAGTCTATGACAGTAGGCCCTACTTTTCTCAGCCCTGAGATCAAATATCAAAAATCCGTCCGATAAAAAGTCAACTCTGTTTAAGATCTTTAAAACAAAGAAAAACATCGGTTATATGCCGAGTCAAATGGAAGTTATTTCAATTTTCCTGTCTAGAAACCGTATTTTGAGAAAAATGCTAAAGAAGTTTTAGAAATGGATTTTTTCATTTTAAATCCAGAACAAGTCATATTACAATGGTACAATCCAGTGAACCATTTTAAGGGACGTAATAGATAAGGGTAGCTAACGACATCTATCATGCTGATTAATATAAAAATATTTTATTCAATGAAAATGCGAGTGGGAACGCAATTTTTCTGCAACTGAAAACCTTTAGAAACCACGGAAATTTCTCGCAAAACATGGTAGTAGACTTAAAGTTTCATGTGAAAGGCGTTTGAAAATCTAATCATTTTCCACAAAACTAAACATATGCTGAGAAGAAGGAAACTTCGCTGTATCTTCCTGTACTAGAAACTTAACTTCGATATTTTCCGGAGAAGCTCAATTTTCTAAGGGGGAGGGGGCTTTTAAATGAAACTGAATATGAACCACCAGGGCAACATATCGGTGAAGGTGATGTTAACTTAATACTTATATCTTCCTCTGCACGGCAACCAGAAACGTATTCCAGTTAATGAACGAACTACAGATGATCAATATTTTTAACGACAGGTTAAGAATGCTGGTGGTATGTTACTGGATATACTCAATAGTAATGCAATTTGTTGACGTAAAAAAAGTGAAATGGATGACAAAGTATCTCAACATATGACACGAGCTGGTACTTATTTATTAATTCAAGAATTGAATGCAACAGATTTGAATAGTGTTCAAAGACATTTAAGCAAAATAGTCGAAGAACTTACTTTATTATTAAATGATTTACGTGAACGTCAGTGTCTGACTGATATACAAGTTCAACAAATGACTGTTCAGTGATCATTGTTTCAAATCGATTATCTATACTTTTTACCGGATGCACATCAAGTAAGTATTCTTTTTTTTTCATTGTATTCTTTTGAGAAAATGTGTTTATTTCTGTATATAAAGTACTACACTATTTGAACCTGTCATGGTATGTTGCTTAGGACCCACTATTGGTATATCTCGTTACATCAGCCGTCTTCTTCAAAATATCTATGATCAAGCGCCTCATTCAACAACATTTTTCAAAGCTAGTAATGTTGTACATGCACTAGAAAACTATACCACAGAAGTTCGTTTATAATCAAATACATTATTTGCTGCTGTACACGTCAATGATTTATGTACAATTATACCTCATGAGCAATTGACGGAATCATTACAGCATTTTCTCTATGATTATGTACCAGATGGACAAGTGCAAGGATTAATTGTTGATACTATTATTGAGTTAGTTCGTTTTGTTTTACAAAATCAATACTTTATTTTCGATAACAAAATTTATCGACAAATTAAAGGTTGTGGTTCTGATCAACCGTTCAATCATCTATTAGCAAATATTTATATGTTCTATTGGCAACAAGATTTAGTTAAAACATTAGTTAATCAAAATGAAATATTTGACCGATATCTTACTGAAATATTTTTTACTTGGAATAAATTAAAACGAGAACTTCAATCACTTCTTAAGAGAATGGTTCGTCAAAAAAAAAATCCTCATTTATCTATAGCAATTTGAATTGGAAAAAATGTCGCCTATCTCGATATTCAAATAAGTCATATCAATAGTCAACTTCGAACTATAATTAATCACGATAATGATATTGAACCACGTGGATTATCTTTTATATCGGATCATCCACCTGTAGCATATTCAACATTAATTCAAGCATGTCTTATGCTTGCAGCATTAATTCGCTCCAAAGTATCTGATTTTCACAATGAACGTCGTGATGTTCAAATAGTATTTTTAAATAACGGCTATTCAATGAATTTTATAAAAGAACATGCTGAGCAATTGTTTCAAGATTTTCATATTTCCAATTGGAAATCAAATTTAAATCAAAATACCTATGATAAAATGCGTGAAGAAATTATCGAGTATGATCAACAACATCAAGAAATGAAAATAAAACAACGATGAAAACAACAAAGAGAACAACTATGCTACATTACATCTGATTTAAATGAAGAAGAGCTATGCGATTTTCAACAAAATATTAAAACCTTATGGAAAGACTATTTGAAAAATCAATCACAACTCAATAATATAAACATTGAAGTCATTCATCGACCAAAATATCGACGGAACACAAAATGGCTGTCTACAATTATGAAATTCAGAAATTTTTTTGTTTCTTTTGTTATACGTTACGTAGATGGTTTTTTTTGTAAACTTTATTAAAACTAGATATCCCATAATTGTTGACTCCTACTTTTTCGAGATTTAATGTTTTCTCTTTGCATTTTAGATATTTAGTGTTCTGTATAAATGAATTATATTGAAATAAACAAAACAATGACAACAACGACATCAATTTTAAAAACACCAAGTGAAAATGCTCAAGGTCACTAGTATGAATTACTTTCTCCAAAGCAAGTGTTGACTGGACAACAGCAAAAACAGGAACCAGTCCAACCACAGAAAGGCGAAGAGGTGAAACACAAGAAAAAAAGCCGCGGTGATCGAAAAGCACAACGTCGACGTGGACGATTTCGTCGAAAAGGTTTAGATCCAGATTGATTCACCGATTTAATTCAGTCAAACGTGAGCCTTCAGAAAAACCAGAAACAAATGAAAGAAGATGCTAATGATCATATACAGGTCAATGTATCAGTTGATCAAGTAATATCTACCTTTCTTCTTAGTAAAAGAATCAATCAAACGTAAAAGAAATGAAATATCATCAAAACAATCATCAAATACAACTGATAAGTCTTTAAGTCAATTATCTATTTCTCAACCATCACGAAAAAAAACAAAAGATGACCAATAATGAAATTGAACAAGTAACTACAAATGGAGCATCAGACAAGTAACGTTCAAAATCTAAAAAAAGAAATTAATCATAATAATGACTATTCTTATATATCTGATTATTTACAAGTAACCAATCGTATATTTAAACAAATGTTAATCAGTTCATTAGAAGGTGCTGATAAAATTGTTAAACGATTAAATACAAGTGAAAAAATTAACTATATTCGTCAATATGCTTATTTAATACATCGTCTATTCTATGTACAATTACGAGAAAGTCAATGGAAGTATTATTATGATATTGGTATGCAAGAAAATATTTGGTTCGGTCTCGTATCAAAAAAATGGGCTGCTATGAATAGTACGCATCATACTTATGGTCGCTCAAAAACATTAATCGTACGACGTCTAACAACTCTTCAACGACAACTTCAAGAAGATCACAAGCATTACAAGAGTTTGGCAATCCATCATTATCTCAATGTCTATCTGAAATGAATCATCCATTAGATTTTACAACAATGTCAGCAATGGTTACAGCTGTTGTCGAAAAAGGTCAACATAAATTAAAGCAACAATTTGAATATAATAAAAAAATTTTAAAATTAGACTCAACAGATCATCGTTTAGTACAATATGTTTATGATTTGAAACCTAATAAACAACAAATTCGTTCTATTCGTAATATATGAAAAGCAATTTATAATAAAAAAAAGCTTGTTAGCGCAGCTCCTTTGGAGCTGAAATGGGGAACTTTCGTATATCCTTCAAACCTATTACCCTGATGCATCATTTGTAAACTAAAAAATAGTTGGTTTCAAATAATTCTGAAAGCATTGAAATATTGTATAGAATCTGAAGCCTTTTGTGCGCGGTTGCTAGGTCTGTAAGGGGGGGTATGTCTGTAATGTTCTCTTCCGTTGCTATGGGTTTGTAATGGGGAGAGGGAGGCGGAAAACCTTGACCTTAACACTTACATCCACTATTTTCTTCGAAAATATACGTGAGTTCCACAAAACAAATGAAAGAACAAATTGAGATATTAAAACATCGCATCCATTCGAATTGTTTACCACCAGCATTCATTCTTCTTGATTATTCACTTAATAAAATTGATAAAATACTTAGCCGATCGAAACAATCTTCTACTAATGATGATGATAACAAGCAACAAACAATATTATCTGCTCGTCGTTTAAAAAAATTGGCCGATTTAAATATGATATGCTGGAATTAAATATAGCAGCTGGTAAAGAAAAAGTACGCTATTGAAATAAAATAGCGAAAAATGGAAAAAAAGAAATTGGTAACTATTACCGATAAATTGAAGATAAACAATTCAGATTCAGATATATTCAAACAACTAATGGTAGCTATTGAAGCACGCGAAAAATATATGATCGAACGATCTGATTATATTACACAACAAAAATTGAAATCTTTTTTCGACGAAGCTCCGGCGTCCCAGGACGATACAACGAACAATGATGGCGTCGGAGCAAATGAAAATTAAATATTCAAAACCATACGTATATGTTTCTTTGTTTATATTTTGCCAATACTATTGTAACATTATCGAATGAACAATTGCTTATTCCCATGTCAACACTAGACGCAGAAATTGTGCGTTTAAACGCGTTTTTCTTGTGAAACGCGACTGGACTCAGTCAAAAGACAATAAAAACCACGTCTGCACGCGATTTTGCACAGACCGTATCTAAACACGACTGGACTAAGACTTCAAGCGCATCTTAACGTGTTTTGGTTTGGAATCACGTCTCTAGTGAAACATTTCTTGCGTCTAGAAGCATTCCATTACTTCGATCAATATATAAACGAAATGCGATTGTGAAACTCGTTTATAGGAAAAAATATATAAAAGATTCGTTTTCTATTCACTAGAAAATATATATCACAGTTTGTTTTATAAAATTAATTTAGTTTGAAGTATATAGAGTTCTCAAAAAGTGAAGAGTTCTTTTTCTCAAGAAAGACAGAATGTATATGTATTTTAATCCTTAAAACATTGGTACTCTAAAATTGAAAATAATGAAATTTTAGAAATAATATAACCGAATTTTTTTTTTCAAAACGAATAGTTTCCATAATTAGATATTTTTAAAATTATTTAGTTGGATTTATTTAATGCAAACTCTTTTTTTTTTGGATAAATAAGTATATTTTTATACACAGCACCTCATTGATACATGTATCTGTGAATAAGTTTATAATAGACGATGCATATATAGATTCTGCTTCGTTCTACAACTAATGTGATCACATGTGGCTCAATGGTGTATGTACACTTGCTTTCTACTCGCTAATTTACTTGTTCTAATCTCATTTCTATCATTTTAGAAACATTAAAATTTAAACTCTCCGTTGGCCTGTAGTTAGGTAAAGACGACCGCTAGGCAATATTGATAGCGAATCAGATCAAACCTGAGACGGATTGTAATACATTTTATAAATTTGAAATAGAGGCATTTCTTTTATCGACAACGTATGGAAAAAATTATTGAACGAGCATACAATCGCCTCTATAATGAAAATGTTAAAAATCTTACCGATTACATGTTTTCAACACGTGATACACTTGCTATTGAATATTTTGCTGTAATAAAAAATTTACTTCAACAGCTATATACGAAACCAATACTAAAAAAACTTGGAAGACATGCTCGATATATGTGCAAGATGATAAAATCCATGCAATGACAATTATGCAAAGCTAATATTGCTGTCTGACAAACTGATAAAAGCAAATTATTTTTCTTTAT